GTGGGTGTGTGTAGGGGTGGAATATTCGACCTCTATCTCATTGTAGATAACCAGCCAACCAATGAGTTAGAAGTTGAATTAAGGTAAATTCAAACCGACCCATTAATTTCAAGACCCTTTTCTTGAGTCACAGTTTTGGGTATGGTTGAATGGAAATTCAATTCATTATACGAGAATAAAATTTATAATTTCAATACTTTAACATAAGAATAATACCTATATGAAATACAAAAACAAAATCTCATAGTAAAATGTGCATTCAGACTTAGGTACACCAATTTGCGGAGCGAGAGGGTGAAAGCGTTCATTTTTCAAGAACTCAATATTGAGAGTGTGGGGAGAGCGCGATATTATATTATTTAAATTAATTAATATATTCATTTTTTTGTAATAACCAACAACTCAAATCAAGTTAGAAGATTTAAAGTGGAACGGCTAGTTGATCAAATGCATAAAATTTGCTAGATTGAACAAGGAAAACATAACTTTTCATGTGATAAAATGTTAGAGAGTGGTATAAGATCCAATATAACCTTATCCAACAATTCGAGTTATTGGGATCAACTAGTTTATGACATGGTATCATAGTTGGTTTGGTCAAGTGGTCATATGTTCGTATCTCCACGACCCCCAATATTAATAGTTGATTAAAGCACAAGGTGTGGTGATCGCCTGTGCAAACTTCAAGACCATGGGTTGACTTTCGTTGGAGGGGGCGTGTTAGAGAGTGGTATAAGATCCAACTAGATTAGAGCACGGTCTCTTGGCCGGGAGAGTTTGATTTTCATGTATATGTGTAGTAAACATTGAGGTATATATTTTTTTATGGTTCATGTTGTTGGGGATTGAAGTAACCATTTAATTTGGTAAGTTGTCCATGAATAATATAGGAAAGTATTTAATCTATTTGACTAATGAAGTTTAAAAAATGACAAACAACGTCCAACTACACTAACATAAATACATATTTTCAAACAAAGTCATATCTATATAAAAATGTCTAAGAAGAACAATGATAAGAATTGTTTTACATCACACATACATAATCAATCTTCAGTATACGATAATTTCTTTTGCCCTTTCCAATTACTTTAGTGTATTCAATGATATAATGAAACAAAGTATATGTTTAAAGTGTCCTTAAAAAGAAACAAATTAATCACACAGTTATGGTTCCGTTAACTTTAGTGTATTCAATGATATAATGAAACAAAACATGCATATCTCTAGCTAGCAAGTTCAACTAATAGATCAACACATAAAAAGCTAAATCAAAGCGAAAAGAAGGCAAAAACTAAAAGCAGCATACCAAACATTTTGGGGAAAATCCACAACAATAAAAGTAATTGTATGAACACTTGATAATGATTTGAACACTTGAGATATATGAGTAGTGAAAGTTAATAAAAGTCATTATAGCTCTTACTCAAGTTAGAAAGACTTTGATTTAATGGTAAGTAAACAATGATATGTAGTGCTTAAGAGGGAAGATGAGACCTTACATTGTTTATTAATATGCATCTTAGATTCATAAATTTTACATCATTAAAAATTTATGTGCTGAATAGAAACCCATCCAAGTTTGGAGCCATTGTAAAATGTAAGTTATGAGGCAAATGAAAAGTCTCAAGCATCCACATTCTTGGAAAATAAATATATATTATCAAACATAAAATCATATTTTGCATCAGAAAAAAGAACAAAAAAGTAGAATTCGATAATCAATATAGGAATCAATATGGACAAAATATCTAACCAAGAGAAGAGGAAGCAAAAAAACACAAATTGTTGTGTATAGATTCCGCTCACGATAATTTAAATCAATACAATACAACACTTATTTAGACTCTTTTATAAAGAAATGCATGTCTAAGGAAATGGGGACTTAAGCGATCATCATGATCCCCCCATGACCTGGGAAAATCGGGTTCTAAGCGATCCTCGGATCCCCCCTTTTTTTGTCAAAAAGACTGTGTTTCTAAGGAGATGTATACCTCTCCTAAGAGTCTTACGAGTGTACTTGTATTGGCAATAAGGTCGATCTTGCTTATCTTACGTTTTTTTTTATATTCATCAGCTGTCGCGTACCAAGAGAAGAAATTTAAAGAGAAGATGCAGAATATCCGTCAAATATGCCCTGAAGGTGCGCAGTGGCTTGATCAACATGACCTTGAAATGTGGACTTTTCATAAGGACGGAGGTCACAGATGGGGTATTGCCACAACAAACTCAAGCGAGAGTATCAACAACGTCTACAGGGAATGTCGTGCACTCCCCATCTCTGCAATTGTTGAGATGACATTCTGGAAAACAAACAGATGGTTCGTCAACCGTCTCCACTGGTGTGAGAAGAGGGAGGCACAGGGTAAGGTACACTCCGATTATGTATTGAAAATAATGGAAAAAGATAATCGCAAGAGCTCTCGTCACACAGTCACTGTGATGAACCGACATGCTGGCGAGTATTCGGTGGAGACTGGGCACTGGGAGGATGGGAGACGTGGTGGTCATCGCCATGAAGTCACTGTAAACTTTAGGACTAAAAAGGGGGAGTGCTCTTGTCAGAAGTATCAGAGTAGAGGGATACCATGTTCTCATGCAATGGCTGCAATAAAGCACAGGAGCAAAGACCCTCGTCATTTCGTTAGTCCGTTCTTCAACATTGACTCACAAAAGAGCAGTTATCGTACTAGTTTCCGTGCATTGCCGGATGAAGCTTCAACCATGAATTGCTGATTAGGTTGTTGGATTTCTTGGGGAAGAAAACTCCTCCGATCATGCCGAGGATGTAGATACGTGCATAAATGTCTTTATCGCGCTCCGAACTTTCCTCCGTGAGGGGAATCCCTCCGAACTCAGGGTTGTGCTTACGCCTGATCTCCGCTGTCAACCACGTGATGGATACTTGACCCTTGGACAATGGTGGATTACCATCCGCATCGTGATCTCCCTTTTCTGGCGGATACAACCCGGTGACCGTCCATATAAAATGTTGTCAATCACTCATATTGGCAACAACTTTAGGTGGTGCCGTAGAGTCCACACAAACAACATCACCATCAATGGGGAGATCGGTAAGGATGGCGATGTCCTTAAGTGTGATGGTGCACTGGCCTTCACGAAAATTGAAGCAGTGTGTCTCCTTTCGCCATCTCTCTACCATCGCCGTGATGAGTTGGCGGTCAACCTTAATTCCATTGAAATGCCTAATCGAATCCAATCTTGCCCTTTTTAGAAAGGGCAAGATGACGTCGTTCCATTCAAGCACATTCGTTGTGCCCCTATAGCGGACTATATGGTATGCATCCTAGAGAAGAATTTAAATTTCACTATAAGTTGATGATTTATACATATATAAATATATTCTAAGATACAATTTATATATAAATCAAGGTTGGTGTAGTTGTAGAGAAATACACATTATCTAATAAACATTAATTTTAACATAACTAAAATAATTTTCTAAGATGCAATATTAATTCAATCAAGCGATTTTATAGAAATATACATTATCTAATAAACATTAATATTAACATAACTAAAATAATTTTCTAAGATGCAATATTAATTAAATCAAGCGATTTTATAGAAATATACATTGTCTAATAAACATTAATATTAACATAACTAAAATAATATCCAAATATATTATTTTGTTAATCGTATTGATTATTTTCAATAATTTAAAGCAATACAAGTACACTCGTAAGACTCTTAGGAGAGGTATACATCTCCTTAGAAACACAGTCTTTTTGACAGAAAAAGGGGGGATCCGAGGATCGCTTAGAACCCGATTTTCCCAGGTCATGGGGGGATCATGATGATCGCTTAAGTCCCCATTTCCTTAGACATGCATTTCTTTATAAAGAGTCTAAATAAGTGTTGTATTGTATTGATTTAAATTATTGAAAATAATCAATACGATTAACAATTAAGTAAATTATTCTACAAACAAATAAATTACTTTAACAAAATACAAATTACAAGTGATGATAAATAATATGTACCTTGTGGTCGTTCCAAACGTCTCTTGAACGATGATTAGCTTGATCGTATAAAACTGTCGGATCAATCGGTCCTTGCTCAACATAATATCGTTGATTGAAAATATCAACATCCGGCCCAACCTACGATAGCATAACAATAACACAAATCATTAGTATATAAATTAAATAAATCATTATAACAACAACAACAATTGGGAAAAATGAGTACGTGCCGTTTGATAATCATAAAAAAAAGGCCCTCTTCTTGAGCGAAATCGGCCATTCTCTCGGAATCCGGACAGAGGTTCGACGGTTTTTTAGTGAAAACCAAAGAAAAATTTTTTGGAGGCAGATCGGACTTAGGCCGCAACCAACAAAAAAACGTTTCTAAGGTTTTTGGGTGGGGAGGGGAATGGATAGGGAGAAGTTAGAGGGAGAGAGGGGGGAATGAGGTTGGTGTGTAGAAAAGTGAAGGTGGAGGGGGTTTATATAGGGTACAAACCGCGTCCCGTGGGCCATTTCGTCAATTTTTTCCAACGAAAACCGCGCCTCGGAGACGCGGTTTGCTTCTCCCGAACAGTCAATCGCGCATCGGGGACGTGGTTTGCTTCTCCCGAATAGTCAAACCGCGCCTCGGGGACGCGATTTGCTTTTCCCGAACAGTCAAACCGCGCCTCGGGGACGCGGTTTACTTGGCCGACGCGGATCGCCGAGCTGGCACACGTTTTGGCCGTTAGATCGCTCTCCCAGCAGGCGGTTTAATGAACCGCCACGTGGACACGCGGTTTGACAGCCATGCAAGGTCAAACCGCTCCTTGGTGAAGCGTTTTGTGATGAAACCACGCCTCTAAGCTGCGGTTTCATTGAAAACCGCTCATCAGAGGCGCGGTTTTATATAAACGATGGTATTTTTGGAAATTATTTGGTGAGGGTGGTATTTTTGTAAATTTATTTTTTTTTTTGTTGAATCATTTTGTAAATTTTTTTTAAAAAGTGGTAGTTTTGAATTTTTTCCTCGAAAGTGGGCAAATGTCACTGCATTTAAGAGCGTGAATGTAACGCGAATAAATTCCAGCCCTTCTTCTCTCCGGAGCAGGGCCCACAGCTCGACAAAACAATTATCTCTTTCTTCTGCGCTCTCCTCTCTATATCAATTGCTATTCATTATTTCTACCGCCAGAGTGACAGCGCTGGGAGTGATAGAGTTCGGCTTTTAGCTACCGGAAGTCAGAGAGGAGATCCGACGGTTGACGGGAGAAGGAGGGAGAGGGAGACAAAGAGATATGTCGGCCACCGGCGGCGGAGGCGGCGGCGGGCAGGAGGAAGACAAGAAGCCCGGGGATCAGGGAGGTCACATCAACCTCAAAGTCAAGGGCCAGGTGACCTGGATTTACTATTTGATATTTCCTTTGGAGTTGGCCTGTAGAATTCTGATTCCTGCTGTTAGTACTTTGAGGGTTTAATCGTAGCTTTTGTTAGCCGTGTCGATTAGCTTGGTTTGCAGCGGATTGAATGTTGTGTTAGGTTTTACCAAAGCAGGAATCGGTCTGGTTCGTGTATGTTTGAGGTTGATCTGATATGGGTGCCTCGTACGATTGATTTTGTATATATTTTCTCGGTTTTTGGTAGGGATGTGAGCTTTTAAGACATGTTGCCTTGACCTTCTTCAATCGAACTATCGAAGCCAGGAAAAGAAGTGGAAAAAAAGAGAGCTTGCCTGGAAACAAGTAGTGATTTTGAAATCAGGATTTTTTTGTTCAGTGCTTGCATAAATTGGTGGCTGGTACATGTTTGACCTTCCAGATGAAATGGGTTGCTTTTTTTTTTGTCTTAATTTCGACTCGGGTGATTTTGCTTTCAGCTTGTATTCTTACTCTTTCCAACTACTCCTACCTTGTTGGTGTTTTCTCTTTTTATTAACCTACATGTGTGATTCTGCAGGATGGGAACGAGGTGTTCTTCAGGATTAAGCGCAGCACCCAGCTTCGCAAATTGATGACAGCATACTGCGATAGACAGTCGGTGGACCTGAACTCGATTGCATTCTTGTTCGATGGTCGTAGGCTTCGTGTTGATCAGACCCCAGACGAGGTGAACCCTTCTTTCCTTTCCATGCCCTGTCATTAGGAGTCGGTCCAAATTTTGTTTCTATTGGCCGGAGAGCACTGGAGATTGTTACTTCTATGACTCGTTGTTTGACTGATTTTATGTGACTTCTATGATAGCTTGAAATGGAAGATGGAGATGAAATTGATGCCATGCTGCACCAGACAGGTGGCTTCCTTGGATGTCGTTAACTTCTATGTAGTAGTAGTGATGGACGGGGGATGTTATTTGCCTTTGCTTAATCTGAACTCTACTGAGAGATAGTGAGAGAGCTTATGGACATAGAAGCTGAAAGTTTGATTCTGTTCTAACAATACAGGCACTCTGCATTTTGTACTTGTTTCAAATAGTCCTGTAGTTGAACTTCTATTTCCGATGTTTGGCTATGCTTTCTATCTGGTTGGGACTCGGCTGTCATCTTGCGATTTGCCTAAACTGGTCTAATTGAGAATAAAATAGCTAGTGTTGCTGGAAATTGAAAGGAATTGGAAATTTAGGGTTTTGGGTAGGTTAGAAGAGGAATAATCGCCACACCAGCCGGTGATAAGATTCGGGGCAAGGCGTCATAATCAAGGGGTTGATAAGCCTAAGAAATCACAAGAAAATATTTCTTGCAACTCTTGAAAACTCTTATTGAAATCTAAATAGAGGCTAACTTAAAAGAAAACACTTCCTTAGATTTCCCGTTCATTGGGAAAACAATCCTTCCTTAAGTGAATCCATACTAAGTCACCAGGTTGAAAATGCATATGCCTCATCTTCTTGTTTGCCTTGGCTTTCATATGCCGTTGTTAGCTTCACAATATTTGCCCTGACTTTCTCGTGTAGTTGCTTCACAAATTTAGCCTTCATTTTAGCATCCATGCTCACTTGTACCTCTAAAGGCAGTGGGGCCAAGTCTAGTGGTGTAGTGGGGTTAAAACCATAGAAAACCTCAAAAGGGTTGAATTTTGTTGCCCCGTGCACACATCTATTATAAGCAAATGCCACATGAGCTAAACAACTATCCCAATCTCACAAATTCTTTCCCACAATTGCACGTAACAACCTTCCTAGAGTACGGTTCACAACTTCAACTAGCCCATCGGTTTGTGGATGACACGAAGTGCTAAATAAGAGTCGCATCCCAAGTTTCTTCCACAAAGTCTTCCAAAAGTAGCTAAGAAATCTTGGATCTCGATCACTCGCAATGCTCTTGGCACACCATGTAGTCTCACGATCCCCTTTAGAAACAAGTCAGCCACGTGAGAAGCATCGCTAGTCTTATGACATGGGATGAAATGACTCATTTTGGAGAATCTATCCACCGCTACCATGATTGAATCTTTCCCTTGTAGTGTCTTTGGTAACCCAAGTACAAAATTCATACTAATGTCCTCCCACGGGTGATGTGGTATGGGTAATGGCTACAAACCATAAGGCTCCTCCCAACTTTTGGCTTTCTTGCAAGCCACACACCTTGACACTATTCTCTGCACATCCTTCAACGTTTTCGGCCAAATAAAATGATCTTGAACAGCCTCCAATGTTTTCTTTTCGCAAAAATGTCTTGCTTGACCACCTCTATGAGCTTCTTTGACCACAAGCTCTCTTAAAGAGCATGTTGGAATGCATAAGCGACTAACTTTGAAGATGTAACCTTCGTGTTTATAGAACCCATGACAAGCACCAGCCGCACATGCTTCAAGCATCTCTCCAAAACATGGATCATTCTCATACAAGTCCTTGATCCAGTCAAAATCAAAATAGCAAACTTGCATTTCAGAAATCAAGGTATGCCTTCGTGACAGTGCATCAACCACAACATTAGTTTTGCCTTTCTTGTACTTGATGATGTAGGGAAATGCCTAAAGAATCCACCCATTTAGTGTGTCATTGTTCAACTTCCCTTGCCCATTCAAGTACTTCAAAGAATCATGATCAGAGTGTATAATGAAATCTTTGGGCAGTAGATAATGTTGCAATGTCTCTAGAGCTCGAATCAGCGCATAAAATTCCTTGTCGTAGATTGAATAATTCAGTGCTGAATTATGGAGCTTCTCACTAAAATAGGCAATAGAACGATTTTCCTGTTTGAGGACAACTCCAATTCCTACTCTGGATGCGTCACATTCTATCTCAAAGGTCTTGGCAAAGTCTGGTAAGGCTAGGATAGGTGCTTCACACAATAATTTCTTGAATTCACCTCCTTTCTTCAAACATTAAATCATTGGCGTCACAATAGAGCTGAAATTCTTCACAAACCTTCTATAGAATGAGGCTAGGCCGTGAAAGCTTCGTACTTCCCCAACACTTTTAGGAGACGGCCAATCCTTGATTGCCTTAATTTTCTCCTCGTTCACTTGAACGCCTTCTTTGGAGACAATAAAACCCAAGAATACTACACTTTCTTGGCAGAAGTGACTCTTCTTAGCATTCTTATATAGTTGTGCTCGTCTTAAAACCTCCAAGACTTGTTTCACATGAGAAACATGTTCTTCCAAACTCTTGCTATATATAAGAATGTCATCAAAATCGACAATCAAAAATTTTCCAGAAAGTTCCTTAGTACGTGATTCATTAATCTCATAAATGTACTATGAGTATTTGTCAAGCCAAAGGGCATAACCAACCACTCAAATAACCCATGCTTGGTTTTGAATGTCGTCTTCCATTCATCCCCTTCTCTCATTCAAATTTGATGATAGCCACTCTTCAAATCAATCTTCGAAAACAATGTTCAACTATGTAGTTCATCTAACATGTCATCCACTTGATGAAAACAATGTTCCACTATGTAGTTCATCTAACTGTTGGAAATGTGTATGAATAGCTTTGAAAGCTATAGAGTCTCAAGTGGAAAAACTACCACATTGGTAGTTTTACTTGGTGAAGTGATTATAAAGATAGGAGCCTCTCTCCTAAGGGCATGCCCCTTGGGGTGACCCACTTTTGTGGGAGAGGGAGGACCTAACGGACCACCACACACGCGCGCGCCGGTCGGTCGGTTGGTTGGTTGGTTGGTTGGATCACTTGAGACTATGTACATATTTTTTGGAGAAATTCCGAACGAAATTAATTATTTAATAATTAATTATTAATCGGTTATTCTGAGGAATATTCTAAGGGATAATCGATTGAAAAGGAATATTCGAAGGATAATCCCAGCAGGATTTATCCTAACCGACGGTTTTAATTAAGGAAGTAATTATCTTCCTTAATTAATCCGACTTATTCCCCAAGCTAGAGGGTATATTCCTAGGGGTTCGGCTCCTATAAATAGCCGCCTCCCCAGCCCCTCTAAACACACGACAACGAGCATAAACACAATAGAGAGAGTGTTCAAAGAGCTCCGGTTTTCGCACAAAACCGCGAGTACCCAGAGGAGCTGTTTTATCCTGGAGACGACCGGTTGATAGTCTGCCGTGCGCATCGAGGGCAGTGCCGCGAACGTCTTAAAGAAAGCGACCTAGTCCGCGACTCAGCTCCAGATTCGGTATCCTCATCTTGTTGTTGTTCCGTTTCTAACAATTTTAAGACGTTCGGCTGCTGCTATGTCGACTGAACAGAACAACATGGCCGGATCTGGTGTTGTCGATATCAATCGACCGTTTCGCTTCGTTGGAGTCAACTTCCGTCGCTGGAGACAAAAGATGGAGTTCTACCTGACGACCAAGAAGTTGGCACACTGCCTCACCAGCATGCCCGTCGAGCTGCCGGAAGAAGCGACCGATGAGGAGAGGACTGCTGCTGCTAAGGAAAGGGAGCAAGACTTCCTATGCAAGGGCTACATCCTCAACGGCCTGGCAGACGACCTCTACGACTACTATGCGGATAGCAAGAACACCGCAATGATGGTCTGGGATGCGCTCCAAAAGAAGTACGACACGGAGGAGGCTGGAGCTAAGAAGTATGTTGTCAGCCGCTACCTGCGCTATCAGATGGTGGATGACAAGTCTGTCGAAGTTCAGTCCCACGAACTTCAGAAAATAGCTCACGAGATCGTCTCTGAAGGTATGCCTCTGGACGATCAATTTCAAGTTGCTTGCATTATTGATAAGCTGCCCCCTTCGTGGAAAGATTTTAAGAATATGCTTAGACATAAAACCAAAGAATTTTCACTGGAAAGTTTGATTACTCGCCTAAGGATTGAGGAAGAGTCCCGCAAGCAGGATATGAAAGAAGAGGTGATGGTCGTCACTGCTAAACGACCCACCCCTAGAGCTCTTAAACCTAACCAGAAAGGGTTTAAGGGTAAGAACCAGCAGGTCCGCCCCCACCAGAATGGTGCCTCTCGAGGTAACCAAAGGGTCATGGCCCAAACCTCTAAGAATGACCCACCGTTTATCTGCTTTAACTGCGGAAAACCGGGTCATATGGCAAAAAAGTGCAGGAACAAGCATAACCCCGCCGCTGCGGCCAGGGTTAACTTGACAGAAGAGGACTTGGTAGCCATGATCACAGATATGATCGCTGAAGTTAACCTCACCGGTGACTCAGAAGGATGGTGGCTGGATACAGGTGCATCGAAGCATGTATGCAACAATCGTGCTATGTTTAAAACATACGAAGAAGCACCTGCTGACAAGAAAGTGTTGTTGGGAACTACTCACACCACTATGGTTGCTGGTTCTGGTGAAGTGGAGCTGAACTTCACCTCTGGGAAGAAGATGGTGCTCAAGGATGTGTTGCACACTCCAGAGATAAGGAAGAATCTTGTTTCGGGATATCTTCTTAATAAGGCTGGGTTTAATCAATCTATTGGGGCAGACTTGTATACCCTTACTAAGAATGGGAGTTTTGTGGGAAAGGGATATGCATGTAATGGGATGTTCAAGTTGAATGTCGAAATTAATAAGATGAATTCTTCAGTTTACATGGTGTGTGATTTGAATGTTTGGCATGCTCGTCTTTGTCATGTGAACACACGAATTGTGAAGAATTTAAGCAAGCTAGGGCATATCCCTAAACTCTCAATGAATGAATTTGATAAATGTGATTTCTGTAGCCAAGCTAAAATAACGAAAACGCCCCATAAATCTGTGAGTAGAGAATCAGAACCCTTAGATCTGATTCATTCTGATATTTGTGAACTAGATGGGACGTTAACTAGGTCTGGCAAGAGATACTTTATCACTTTCATAGATGATTGCTCTGATTATTGCTTTGTTTATTTGATGAAAAACAAAAGTGAAGCCCTTGACATGTTCAAGGTATTTGTGGTTGAATTCGAAAATTAGTGCAATCGAAAGATAAAAAGACTTAGGAGCGATAGAGGATCAGAGTATGACTCTAATCTCTTCAAGGAATTCTATAGCTCACATGGTATCATTCATGAAACCACGGCACCATATTCACCAGAAATGAATGGTAAAGCTGAGCGGAAAAATAGGACATTTACAGAATTAGTTGTGGCTATTATGCTCAATTCTGGAGCTGCTTCTTCTTGGTGGGGTGATATTTTGTTGACGGTTTGCTATGTGCTAAATCGTCTTCCAAAAACAAAT